AGAAGGCCGCGACCGAGCTGCCCACCACCAGCGACGGCGCCGCCTGGCTCGTCGACGCGAGCGCCGCCTCGGCCGCCATGCTCAAGGGCCTGCACATGAGCGGCGTCACCGACGCCATCCGGCGCTGCCTGTCCGCCCTGGCGCGGCTCGACCTCGACGCGCCGGGGTTGCGGTCGGCGGCGACGTCGATGCTCGGCGCCGTGTTCCCGATCCTCGACCAGTACGCCGCGACGTGTCAGCAGGAGGGGGGGGCAGTTTGCGCAACCTTGCCCGACGCCACGGGCCGCATGACGCACTTTCTCGGCCTCACGTTCTCGCAGCTCACGGCCAAGGGGTTCTGCACGCCGCAGGAGAAGTCGGACGAGACGCAGGGCGACGCGGGCAAGCTCGAGTCGGGCACCGGTCTCGGCGACGGCGAGGGCGCCGAGGATATCAGCAAGGATATCCAGCTCCGACGAGGACCTGTCTGAGCTCGCGCAGGAGCCGAACAAGGAGCGCAACAGCGAGATGGAGGATGAGAAGGATGCCGTCGACATGGCGGACGAGGACATGGAAGGTGACATGGGCAGCGTCGACGGTGCCGAAGACGAGGAGAACGGCGATGACAAGAACGACGGAGACGAGGACGGCGAAGACAATGACATGGAGGAGGAAGCGGGCGAGGTCGACGATCTCGACCTCGACGGCGGTGGACGAGAAGATGTGAGGCGGAGAAGGAGCAGCAGGGCGAGAAGGCCAAGGGCCAGCAGAAGGACGAGCAGTCGGCGGCGGCGGATGCGCAGCCCAACGACGAGAGCGGCGAGATGGAGGAGCCCGGCGACGAGCAGGGCGACGAGGGCGAGGATGACGACCCTGCCGCCGAGCCGGAGGACGTCCAGTTCCAGGAGGACATCAAGCAGGACCAAAACGTCCAGCAGGAGGACGCCCTGGCGCTCCCCGATGACATGGAGCTTGACCTCAAGGACGAGGAATCTGGATCGGATGACGACGACCTCGACGACATGTCTGACTCGGGCGAGCCAAAGGACGATCTGCCTGACCTGCCGGAGAAGCACGAATCGGACGTGGAAGACGACCAGCAGCCCGAACGTGGCCAAGACCCCGAACAGGCAGACGAGATGCCCGAGGAAGAAATGGACATGGGCGGCAACGAGATTGACGACGAACCCAAGGCCGAAGAGGAGCAGGATGGCGAGGCTCCCGACGCCGAGCCCGAACAGCCCGACGAGCCGGAAGACAAGCGGCAGGATGCCGACCAGGACACGGCCAACGCCGATACGGAGAACGCGGCGCCGAGCGACGTCAAGAGCGGCGGCCAGGATCAAAACGCCGACAGCATGGACGTCGAAAACGAGCCCGACGACAGCGCAGCACAGCGCGACGAGGGGGACGCCGGCGAGGGCGCCGCCAAGCAAGAGGCCGACGCCGGCAAGAAGGGCGCCGTCTCGCGCTCGGACGACCAGGCGCAGCCCACCGAGCAGCCGGAGGACGAGGCAGCGCGCGAGGAGCCTCGCCAGGATCCGTTCAAGAAGCTCGGCGACGCGCTCGAGCGATGGCACCGACAGCAGACGGAGATCAAGGAGGCGGAGCAGAAGGAAGAGGAGGGCGAGGCCAAGCAGCCCCAGCAAGACGCCGACGACATGGCAGCCAAGGAGTTCCAGCACATGCAGGACGACGAGACGGCGCCGGACGCCCAAGCGCTCGGTGCGGCCTCGGACGACCAGGTCCAGCCCATCGACGACGCCATGGCGATTGACGAGGAAAAAGAAGACCCGGCGAGCCGGGTGATGCCGGAGAGCGAGCAAGAGCCCGAGCAGCAAGACGAGGCGGCCGGCGACCAGATGGACACGGACGAGCCCGAGGACAAGAAGGACGGCCCAGAACGGGACGACGGGCGGTCCGGGGTCAAGACACGACAGGGCGCCTTCGACCGCGAGGCGACGCCCGAAGACGCCGACGCCGCCCAGATGGACGCCGACGAGGACGAGCACGAAGACAACAAGGTCGACGAGGCGTCGGCGCAGCTCTCCGAGACACACCTCACGGGCGAGCCAGAGCGACCGCTGCGGCGACTTTGGACGAGGCGATGCAGCCTGTGGGACGGGCTTCCAGACCAAGACGAACCGCGCTGTTCGCTGTCGCCTGAACGTCGCAGGCTGCGGGCTCATCCTCAACCCGTCGGCAGGTCGACCAAAGCTCTCGGGCTCGTTCCCGCACGGGCAAGCGGGCTTCAACATTCAAGAAAGATCAATCCCGTTACATCGCGTCGAGCTAACAAGCGCGACAAGATCTTGGATGCGGCGCCGCCGTGCCGACGAAGCGGTCGTACCAGATCCCTGCTCTGCGTCGACGACAGCCGCAGCATGGGCGAGACGGCGGCCGGCGCGCTGGCGCTCGAGTCGCTCGTCATGGTGTCGCGCGCGCTGACCATGCTCGAGGTCGGCCAGGTCGGCGTGCTGGGCTTCGGCGCCGACGTCTTCGGCGCCCACGCCCTCGACGAGCCCTTCGCCTCG